AAACATTCAATGCCATTTTGGACAAACAAGACAGAGACAGACAGAACAGAAAGGAGGTATGTTGTGCTGATGCCCAGCTTTTCTGTGCTCAAATCCAGCCACAGGGGGTGCTGTTGCTCCAGTGGTGGAACTTATTCTCTTGGAGTGTGGTGGAAACTCCTTCTTTGGAAGCTTTTAAACAGAGGCTGCATGGTTATCTGTTGGGGTTGCTTTGGCTGTGTTTTCCCTGCAATACATGGGGTTTGTGCTGGTACTGCTGTACCAGGAGCTCCAAATGTATTTGCTTTGTATTAAATGTTTGCTTGCAGCCCTGGGTTTCAGAGACTCTGCAGATAGGTGGCTTCCTTTGGTTGTAGTCATAGGGCAAGTCACTTGTCCATCATAGTTAAGTTTTGGTTCCACCCCTTGCTCAGGGCAATTGGGAAGGGAAGGGAGCCATTTTTAGTTAGTCTCAGCAAGGAAAGCTAATGTACAGGACGTGTGCAAGCTTCCCCTGTACAAAAGCTTTAACCATTAAGACCTTCTGGGGGAGAACAGTCTTAAGAGTCTCCAAAGATTTCCAGGAAAACAGCCCTAAAGACCAAAGAACTCCAGCTGGAGAATATCTAAGCCTTTACTGGTAGGTCCACTCAGTGGTTTGAGACGCAGTTTGACCCGATAGTGGAGCCCACATCAGTAAGGGTTAGATTACAGTCAGCCTGGGAGAAGTTAAAAGGGGGATTTTCCATTTAAAGTGGAGAAGAAGTTATTGAAGACAGTTGCCTGTCCTTCGTGGGCAAGTTTAGGAAGCTACCAGTTGCATAAAAGGCTGGAATCATTTGTTTAATTTTCTGAAGATAAGAGAAGTTTCTGTTTGATTGTTCATTAATAAAAGACTGTGTTATACTTCACAAGCCATCTAAAGACTATTTGTGGTGGAAAACCTCTGAGAACTTCTCTTTGGGCCCCCTGGCTTCCCGCTGGACAAAGGTTGCACATCCTGTTCTAAAGGAAATTCTTTACAGGCCCAGCGCACAACAGAACAGGGTTCGACTGGATGGCCTGTGTGATCTCTTCCAACTGTATGATTCTATGAATCATAAGTCATTTCTGCAATTTTTGACATTTTCTTCCTGTAAGGTATAAGAAGCCTTTGGACTGTCTGTTATTTTCTGTCATCTGAACAGTATCAGTGCTATTTTCATGCAACCAGAAACTCTATTGGAAAATTATTTTTATTTGAAAAACACACCTTGTCCAAAGTCTACAATTGGAGTAAATTAGGGCTGTCCCAAATATTGGGCCTTTTGAAAAAAAAAAGTGAGAAGTCATAGCATTTTGATGGACAGAAAGAATTCCTAGTTGAGAAAGCATTCTGTTTTCTGTTGTGATTTTTTTCCTTTTGTCTTCTGGCAGGGGTTACCCCCAGGCTATTCTTCAGCACTCGTGCCCCTTTGCATTATTTGTTGGCCTTCTGCATTTTGATTTAGTCTCTTTGAGTATATTCTTCCAGGCAAGGGTCACTAGCAATAAACAAAATTATGCCACGGTGCCACCGCTTTTGCAGTAACTTCACCAGATGCTAGTCAATAAATGAACAAACCTCGGTCTTTTAAATAAATGCTCAGTGGATAGCATTTTAAAAAAGCAACATGGGATGCTTAAGAAAACTTCAAAACCTACTACTAAAAATGATTGAGCACTCTAGTGAAAACTAAAAACTTCATCCACATAAATGGCGGTAGCAACACTAAAAAGTTAAAGCTTAAACAGGTTGTGAAAACACTTACTGAAGTACAGCTGTCTGTCTAAAAGCAAGCTGTATTAGGGCTAAGTAGCCCTCCCTGGAGATACTGTTGAAAAATGTGGGTGCCATCACCAAAACACTTCTGCCTACTTTTTGCCTCCCAAATTTTTAAGAAAGGAGATCAAAACCAGAAACTGAACTAAATTAGTAAACAGGGTCATGCTATTTTTTAAAAAATATTGTTCATTGTGTTGTTGAAGGCTTTCATGGTTGGAATCACTGAATTGTTGTGAGTTTTCCGGGCTGCATAGCCATGTTCCAGAAGCATTCTCTCCTGATGTTTCACCCACATCTGTGCCCAGTGTGGAACACATCTCACCACACTAAAACAGTGGATGTGGCTCTGAATGAGACATGCCGCATTATCACGGGTGTCTGCGCCCTACACCACTGGAGAAATTACACTGTTTAGCCGGTATTGCACCACCTGACATCCGCCGGGAAGTAGCAGCCAATAGTGAAAGGACCAAGGCAGAGACATCTCCAGCTCATCCCTTGTTTGGGTATCAGCCAGCACGTCAACGACTTAAATCAGAAAAAATAGTTTTCTAAGATCTACAGAGACACTCGCTGGAACACCTCAGCAAGCGAGAGTCCAAAAGTGGCAGGCTCAAACCCAGCACCTCAACCAATGGCTGATACCAAATGAGAGACTCCCTCCTGGGCACACAGAAGACTGGGCAACTTGGAAGGCACTGAACAGACTGCGCTCTGGCACCACGAGATGCAGAGCCAATCTTGAGAAATGGGGCTACAAAGTGGAATCCTCAACATGCGAGTGCGGAGAAGAGCAAACCACTGACCACCTGCTGCAATGCAACCTGAGCCCTGCTACATGCACAATGGAGGACCTTCTTGCAGCAACACCAGAAGCACTCCAAGTGGCCAGATACTGGTCAAAGGACATTTAACCAACTACCAAACTCACAAGTTTTGTATTTGTCTGATTGTTTGCTTTGTTCTATTAGAAATGTAATATAACGGACTGGTTGCTCTGACATGACAAATAAAAAATACCCACATCTATGGCAGGCATCCTCAGAGGTTGTGAGGTCTGTTAGAAACTAGGCAAGTGGGGTTTATATATCGTGAAATGTCCAGGTTGTTAGAAAGAACTCTTTTCTGTTTGAGACAAGAGTGAATGTTGCAATTAGCCACCTTAATTAGCATTTAATGGCTTGGCAGCTTCAAAGCCATAGCAGAGCACTTGAGGAACCAACCTGGACACAGCATATTATTTGAGAACACAAAAATACTGGACCACTCTCACAACCACCATGTCAGACTACACAGAGAAGCCACTGAAATCCACAAGCACATGGACAATTTCAACAGAAAGGAGAAAACTATGAAAATGAACAAAATCTGGCTACCAGTATTGAAAAACTCTAAAATCAGGACAGTAAATAGAGAACAACATTCAAAATACAGGATAAGTCCAGTTAAGAATCAATCAGTACCAGCTAACAACTCCCAACAAAGGATCCCCCTAAGCAGCAACCAGTCAAGCTTTGAAGATAATGCTTCTGGAACATGGTCATACAGCCCAGAAAACTTGCAGCCACCCAATATTATTAATTGATTTAAATTTCAAAGAACCATTGAATGTTTTAAATTGTTTTATATTTGAAAATCTATCTAGGCATCTGGGATCTTGAGACCTTTGTGACCTTTGATACAGGACACCTTATACATACTTAAAATAACGGTAGAGGAAGGTGATTCTGGGAATATTGTACTCTCAGCCTTTGGGGCAAGGGGGGCTTAGACTGCCCAACCAGAACCTCAAATTGAGTTCAGAAATGAATGGGCAACCACTGAAGCTGGCAAATCGATCAATGGTTCTAGCCTCATTTCAAGCCAAAAGTACTTTCAGCAAGCTTATTCATGCTACAAGAAAGTCTTTAAAATATTCAGGGGGTTTTTTTGCAGCTGTTTGCAATTTGAAATTTACTTTTGCAGAATCCAGTTGATTTGCATGGGAAATTGAATTTTTTGTGCATGAAACCAGTTGTTTTCTGCACAGAAAATGCAATTCCCTGTTCAAAAAAGCTATCTTTCTGAGCAAAGTATCCATTTTGTGTGGAATAAGTTCTGAACTGCAAAATAAAGCTTGGACTTGGAAGAGTTATCTTATTTCAACATCTTCTTATTAGTGTTGATCAACAGCTGAAAAACACCTTTCAACCAATTAAATATATTCTTGATTTTTTTTTCTTTCTTTAAATGCAGGAGAATCTGAAAAATGCAAAAAAATGTTTTTTTAAACTAGAATAAACATACAGCCAGAAGAACTATACACCCACTTTTGGTTTATCCATGGCCAATACCACCTCCATCTTGCATGGTTATAGCACTTTGACAGTACAGTGTGACCCTCATACCTTTGTTTACTGGTAACTGCAGTTTCATTTACCCAGCCAAAAGATGTCTTTAGATATCTGACAAAAAAGATAACTTTAAATGTCTGACAAAATAGGTCTTTAGATATTTTCTAGGTCTTCCAGGAAATTGACCATAGAATCATGCCAGAGTACCTAGTGATGCTTAGAGAAATGTGGTGGAGGCTAATTCTTTGGAGGCTTTTAAGCAGAGGCTGGATGGCCATCTGTCAGGGGTGATTTGAATGCAATTTTCCTGCTTCTTGGCAGGGGGTTGGACTCATGGTCCATGAGGTCTCTTCCAACTCTATGATTCTATGAGTGTCTTCTACAGACATTTCCTAGATCTTCTAGGATATAGAATCATGCTGGAGGATCTTGCAATGGCTTGGTTTTCAAGGGAAAAAGAGTTATGCTGGATACATCTACACTATAGAATTAATGCAATCTGACACTACTTTAACTGCTATGACTCAATGCTGTGGAATCATGAGAGTTGTAGTTTGACAAGGTCTTTAGCCTTCTCTGCCAAAGGGTGCTAGTGCATTACCAAGTTACAACTCTCATACTTCCATAGCATTGAACCATGGCAGCATTATTTCTACAGTCTAGAATGCACTTAAGCCAGCTGAATATGTCTATTACACCATGGCCAATAATTCACCCCACATGACTTGTGTAACTTAAGACAGCTATTGTGCATTAACCATCAGTGCATTAATGTGGGTTGAAAACTGTAAGAAGAGGGTGGGAAATTCTCAGTTCAGGAACCCATGCTGTGTTATTAGATTGGACAAATTTCTCTCCCACTTGAATCTCAAGTTTTTTCCCCCTATTCTTTGTATGTAGAAATATGCAAATGTTGAAAGTCCTGCTTATTTTTAAAAAACCTGAACAAAAGGCTCACGCATTTGCACACTGGCCATATTTAATAGCTAAAGTCATGCCCAGTTTAGGCATTACCTGCTTGCTGTCTAGCTGGTAAAATAAGAACTCCATGATAATACAAAGAATTGGCAACTCTGATTTTGCATCCGGCGCATGCTTGAATAGACAGGGATTTCAGCCCATCCTTTTAAGAGCTTACCTTTCAGTGCCCTCTGCTTGGAAAGATAAATCTGCCAATTGCAGTTTCCCTCCAGTTCTTTCTGCCCTGCTAAGGAGGAAATACGTACATTTTGGTAAGTTCCTGTTATGACAAAAATGAACCAAACAAAAGGTCCATACCCCATTTGTGCACAGCTTACCCTGAAAGAGTGAGTGATGGGAATCCTATTAAGTGGCTGTGAATGGGTACTGCGCAGGCAACATGCTTTAAACATGGTTTGTTTACTCACCCTTTTAAAAAATGGCACAACCAAGGATGGGCTAAGAATAGCTCTTCCTTCGGGACTGGCAACATTTCCGAGTGAAAACCCTCTTCTGGAGAGAAGTTCAAGAAACTGCGTCTCCCACCACCACGTCTTTCCCTGTCAGTTCTTCTTTAAATTCCACGAAGGGTTTTTTCTCCCCTTCACAGCTTTAGCTTCTCCATTGAATTTGCAGGAGCTGATGTAACGGCTTGGTGTTTGAAGAAATCCTAAAGCCATTGGCAGATATGATTAAGTTATGCTTATCCTACTCGGTTTGTCAGGCACTGATAGGAAAGGTTGACGCCAAATGTTACCACTCGATGTCTTTTGCGAAATCTGCTGCAGTGGGTGTGTTAATGCAGCGGGGTGGTAAGTGGGGGAGAGAAATCATTTTTATGCCTTTATTTCTCAAGGCTATTTTGGAAATCCACCTTTGGTGGATTTTGTTGATGGGGAGGAGGTCGAATCCCCAGCAGAGCTATTACTTTGGACTTTGGCTTCCCTTCTTTTCCTCTCCAAAAAAGTAAGATAGACTGTATGGACAGACATAGAGAGCCAACATGGTGAAGTGGTTTGAGCACTGGATTATGACTTTGGATTATGATTTTAGATATTAGAGTTCAAATCCTTGCTGAGGCTTGGAAGTCTTTTTCAGCCTCAAGGGAAGACAGTACCTAACTGCTTCCAAACATATGCCAAGAGAACCCTGTGATAGGCAACCTTCAGATTGCCATAGGCTTACAATGATTTGAAAGCACACAACAACAACAACAACAACAACAACAACAACAACAACAATCCCACGCAGTTAAAGTTTAAGACTAGGAATGGTATTTTCCGGCCAGCAAAAAGAAAGCAGATATGAGGTCAAACAAGGCTCCCTTGGCAGAGAAATCAATTGGCTGACTCTAGCGAAGTCACAGCTTCAGCCTAAGAGAACCCCATCTTAGGATTGCCATAAATCAGAAACAAGTTGAAGACACACAACTGATTTATCCTTAATAATCATAATCATAATCATAATCATAATTTTATTTATTACCAACCTTTTCTCATGGCTCAAGGTGGGTTACAACATCGCTAAAACACACAACCATCTAAACACATTCTGTAAAATACACATATTAAAATACATTTCTACAAAATGCATATTAAATTACACAGAACAAAGATTAAATATAAGATGCAAGTTTAAAATTCGTGATAGACCTCCTGGAAGAGATAGATTTTCAAATATATTTTAAATTCCGATAGCTGATCTAGTTGTCAGAGCTCTTCCGACAGGTTGTTCCACAGTCTTCGGGTGGCCAATGAAAAGGTCATCTGGATGATGATCACCAGTCGGGTTCTACTAGGCTAGAATAGCTTCCCCACAGAAGACCTAATTATTTAGGATGGATTGTACGAGAGAAGGTGATCCTGTAGGCAACCTGGACCCAAACCGTGTAGGGCTTTTAAAGGTGAAAACCAACATTTTGTACTTTGTCTGAAACCAATTGGCCCTAAAAGTGGCCAAAGCATCCCCAACCACCTGCAAAGGCAGGGCTTCCCCCTTGCTTCTGAGTCTCTCCACCTCTGCTAGGGAAAATAGGCCAAAATGGTGGCCAAAAAGTGATGTCACCCGAATTCCAGTGTGCCAGACCAAGACATGATTGGTCTGATGATTGGATGATTGGATGGGCTTCACCTGCTCTGTAGTTGCTCATTCCTTTCAGGGGTTGGATCGGCACTGCCAAATAATGCAGTTTAAACAGCATTATATGGTCAGAGTACACCCATATAATGCAGTTTGGTGCTGCTTAAATTGCATTATTTGGTAATATAGATTCAGTCAAAGTCAAAAATAGTTTTGCAAAACTCCCTGCACATTGACATCTAAATATCAAGGTTTATCACCAAGACCTTCTAGTTCTGTGTGCAAATAATAATCATTTTAATACAGAGGGGCACTTAATCATGCAACGCACCACTCGCATGCACCCAAATCTCCAACTGAGCAAGAACTAGCTTGCCATGTGAAAGAAGGGTTTTCCCACTTGCCTGAGCTATGACATTTCCAAGCAGATATCACAACATGATCCATTCAGAGTTGCTGATAGGAGGCATGAATTTGCCTTGTGTTTTTTACCTTTTGCCTCATGCTTTTTAAAAAGCTCACACATACATAACATTTAAAAGTCACACCCGCGTGGGACTTCTTTCCTCCCACACCCAGACCCCACCCCAATGCCTAACTGCCCAGTCTTTCATAACCATCCTGTTTCCTCAACTTGCTGAAGGACAGAAAAGAAATGAGCTATTATCCTAGTTCATAAAAGAATAGCACACAGGGACTTCGGAATCTGAAGGAGTGGTCTTTAAGACAACCCAGTGCTGTCCCTAAATCAGACCCTGTCTTTGCAAATTGGATCTGTCATGGGCTGAATTTGACATTTGTCTCTACTCAAAGGAGAACTGCATCCCCAGCGAGGCAAGACTGTAAATCTCAGAATAGAAAAGAGACTACATTTGGTTTCCCTTCCCCCTTTCTCCCCCTCGTTCCTCACACATCATATTAATTCCATTTGTAAAACATTGCAAAAGAAAGCTGGAATCTCTATGCCTTTTCAAAGCATAAGGAATCCAGCTTATGACGGTTTGAAATCCTCACCTTTTCTCCCCCTTTGGGGAGCTACTCTTCTTCCTTCACCACCTCCTCCTTCTCATCTTCACCGTCATTGTCTTCCTCCTCCTCTTTGGCTCTCTCCCCCTCCCTCGCGCCCGGTTTCATTTCCACACTGATTTTCAAAAATGCTGGAATGCACAGCCACTGAAGTCCCTTAAGTTGCAGCTGCCGAAATCTCTCCTAATTGCCATAGCTGGGCAGCATCATGCGCCGCCGTATAGGCAGGCAAGAAGAGACGTGTAGCTTTCATTCAGTGCCTTCAAGACATGTCTTTCCTCTAGTCCGGGGGGAGCCAAAAACGCCCAGAGATCAATGCATTTGAAACTGACAGAGAGAGAATGAATGCTTCTTTAGTAGGCACATGCTGAGGATCGGGTGTGTGTATGTGGTATATGGTTTGTGCAGAGCAGAGAAGCTGCGTCCTGGTCCATATGCTCCTTGTTTACTGCAATGTTTTTTGCATGTTACTGTGCACTCCGGACTAACGTGAAGGTAAGAGGTGGCGAGAGACAGCTATTCAGCAGAACTGTCTGTCTTTCTTCCCTTTCTTTATATATCGATCTTGCTATGTTTTAACAGCAGTCAAACAAAAACCATGACAGCCAAAAAGCCGGCTGCAGAAAATGTCTACCTTGTATTGCTTGTTACTTTGGAAAATGCTGCTTGGAACAAGGCTATTATCACAGGTGGTTGTGGAGGCTTTGTTTTATGGTGTCTGCCTGCCTTAATTGGAGAAGCGTGTTTTCATGCGCCAGGGTTTAATGATCTTTCGGGTGTAGCCATTTGCAGGTCGGGCTCGACTCCTGCTTTGCAGAATGATATGCTAGGTATTTGTGTGTGTATGTGTGCTTCAACTCGGTTTTGTTTCATCAAGCTCCCAGTAGGCCGGGGACGAGGCTCTGAGGCTCTCCGCTTCTCTGCCAGTTTCGCCTTTTTTGGTTTCAGGCGTATAAATCAGAATGCATTCGCTTTGACTTCTCCTCATCCCCTCCAGTGAAAGGAGTTTGCTTGTTTTCTTGCTAATGATCTGTCTGGAAAAAACAGAGATCTGTCTGCTGAAGCTAGACTTGTGCGCCCATCCACTTCCAACTTGTCACAAAATGCAGACAGCTCAGATACTAGACGAATGTCCAGAGATGGGAGCAGTATGTTGGAAAGGGGTGGGGAGCATCATGTACCCCCAACTACCCCTCCTTATCTCCAGATGTTTAAGGAAAGAATCCCTGTTTTGCTTCCTAAGTTCTGGGCTCATGGTTAAGATGCTTTTGCCAGCTGTATTAACATGTGTCGGCTTTGCTTAATTAATCTGTCCCCGGTTCCTCTCAACTTTAAGGTAAAAGTTGTGAAATGGGTTCCCTAGCGGAGGACGAACCAAGCTGAAAAGATCATTGACACTTGCGCTCAGCTGATGAAAGCTGAACAATTGGGACAGCCTGCTTTGGAGAATGGAGTTGCATAATTTAGATGAATTAGTCTTCTGTCAACCTATTGGGGAGCCATTGTCGTCGGTGTTCCCGTTATGTCTAGAAGTGTATGTGTGGGTGCAAACTCACATCAAAGAATATGAGGGGGATGACTTGGACAAGGATTTGTAAAGGGTCTTCTTTTGCTTCCTCCAGTCTTACCTTACTGAATGTTCTTGAGAAAGTTTGGGGTCTTTTTTTTCAACCCATGTGTTTGGAACAGATGACAAAGCTACTATGGGCAAACTGGTTCAGCTGATGAATTTTGCCAGGGGCTGGTTTCAGATTGATAGGATCCATAGAAAGACTGAAATGAGGTGAATGATAAATGTGGACAGCCCCTGGTGAGTATTCTGAAAGTCTGAAAATTCACGGGGTCAACCAGGGAAGGCTGTCTGTCACCTAAATGTCATCAGTAACATTCACTGGTGGATGTCCAGAAGGCAAGGAACTCTATATTTAATTTTTGACATCTGTGAACTTCATCTCGGGTTATCGGCATTCACCTGTGCAATATGAATATTTTCCAGAGAATGGGAACTGACTGCACACATTCTTTACATCTGCTAGTTAGATTGGCTCTTGGGCATTCTCCCTATCAATATGCATGGGTAAATAAATCTGTGTACATAGATTATATAACTGTATATTTATATTTATACCTGTGGTTTAATACAATCACTTGTCAATTGGCCATTCTTCATGTATGTAATTCCCAGTCATTGTATATGTATTCCCCATACGGTTCACTTTGGGAACGCTATGATATATGGGAACAGAAGTACAGCTTGAAGAACTTGTATTTGCAAATTGGATCTCTATGCTTGTTTCTTTTTTATAATGAAAGTAATCACATATTGACCCAAATCTGATAAGTATTCAGTTGTATATATACTGTTGGGGAATGCTAACATTTGTTAATAAGATGAGTTGTTGTGAGTTTTTTGGGCTGTATGGCCATGTTCCAGAAGCATTCTCTCATGACATTTCGCCTGCATCTGTGGCAAGCATCCTCAGAAGTTATGACCTCACAACTTCTGAGGATGCCTGCTATAGATGCAGGCGAAACTTCAGGAGAGAATGCTTCTGGAACATGGCCATACAGCCTGGAAAACTCACAACAACCCAGTGATTCAATATATGTTAATAAGATTACAAGTTTTAGTGGAAGCATTTAGAAAATTTTGTTTTCCCCCAACAAGTCTTCTTTTTGAGTTTTATTCCTATCACAATATCCTTAATGTTCTTTACTGGTGAATGATAAAAATTGGGATGAAACTGAGACAATAACTTTTGCAATTTGATAACTATTCACATTTTCCTGACCGTAGTTCAGCTCTTTTAAAAAATGATGGATACATGTCAGCGTTCATAGATTTCCTGACATTAACTACAGCACGTAGATACTAAAAATCAGGTTGATTAAATCAAATTGTATATGCCAGATACAAGGTAGAATTGTGAGAAGAATTCATATGCAAAACATTTAGGCTGACTATGTTTTTTCTTTAAGATAACCTTGCTTAAATAAACATTATTAACATAATGTAGAGAAAAGGAACTCTAAATCAAAAAGGAAGAATCCTTCGAGTGCATGACAAATACTGTTGCATTTGTTTTACTGTGTCAGTAATTAACTTTTTCACTTCAGTGTTAAATGCATTAAGGTTTTTAAGTTATCTACCTAAATGAAAAAAAAACAAAGTTAATCAATGGAAATAGCTTTCATATTCTGTTTCCAGTCAGCAGAGGACATTTTTCTCAATCGGAGTAATGTTTCATTCCCATATATGTACATAGACTAAATCCAATCACTAATTGTAACTGTAGTAAAGCCACTGAAACAATGGGATTTTACACTACGCTCATAACTGATCCTATGGGTTTACTGTACGGTGTTAGCACCCTGGAGTAGGCTTGTGCAAACATACGTAAACACATGTATGTACCTCTATATACATTTTATGAATTAGCGTTTGAACAATGGGCATCTGTTTTGAAATTAGAGATAAAATATCCAAAGAAATAGCTGTGTTCATCTGTAGCTAGTAGTTGCTCTTGGTACTGTCTCTGTTACTCACTGATTTAGGATATAAAGAATGATACGATGTTTTCTGGGATTTCCTGATGTTTGTCAGATGTAGCACTGATTGCATAAGGGAATCCTGATTGCAGCCCTTCTGTGGGATGATGTCATAGTCCATATATGGTTCAGAGAAAGACGATCAGTGCTTTACTGGATTTCTCCGATTCAATGGGCACAGAGAAGTAGATGCACCCAACATGGGAACTTACATTTTCAGTGGTGAATCTAGCCTCTCTCCCAGTCTATTAGTATACCCAGTTGGAATACAGTTTAGGAATTGCTGGTTAACAAATGCATATAGAATGGGTTGCTCTTAGAGCTGATATTCTTGCAATATAGCATTGCACAAGGAAGTTATTGTGCTTCTTAGAATATCATTGTTACTTTTTGCTTGTTTTGTAATAATAATAATAATAATAATAATAATAATAATAATAATAGGATTTAAAGATCGAACTGCAAAGACTCTGTCACAAGCCAGTCAAGGTGGTCCCAGTGGTGATTGGCACACTGGGTACAGTGCCTAAAGACCTTGGCCTGCACTTAAACACAGTCGGCGCTGACAAAATTACTATCTGCCAGCTGCAGAAGGCCACCTTACTGGGATCTGCATGCATTATTCACCGATACATCACACAGTCCTAGACACTTGGGAAATGTCCGATGTGTGATCCAATTCAATAGCCAGAAGAGTGTCTGCTGTGGACTCATCTTGTTGTGTTTCAAATAATAATAATAATAACAACAACTTCTTTATATCTTGCCACCATCTCACAAAAGCACGTAATAGTGCTGCAAGAACATACAGATTCTTGTGGTATTGTATGTTGCTTCAGCACCACTGGATGAAAATTGATGTCAGTGTGTCATAGGACATCTTTATAGGCTTCTAATGTGATGTCATTAGGTAGAGAGATATTGAGATATTGACAAGCTGGAATGTGTCCAGAGGAGGGCGACTAAAATGATCAAGAGTCTGGAGAACAAGCCCTATGAGGAGCGGCTTAAGGAGCTGGGCATGTTTAGCCTGAAGAAGAGAAGGCTGAGAGGAGACATGATAGCCATGTATAAATATGTGAGAGGAAGCCACAGAGAGGAGGGAGCAAGCTTGTTTTCTGCTTCCCTGGAGACTAGGATGCGAAACAATGGCTTCAAACTACAAGAAAGGAGATTCCATCTGAGCATGAGGAAGAACTTCCTAACTGTGAGAGCCGTTCAGCAGTGGAACTCTCTGCCCTGGAGCATGGTGGAGGCTTCTTCTTTGGAAGCTTTTAAACAGAGGCTGGATGGCCATCTGTCAGGGGTGATTTGAATGCAATATTCCTGCTTCTTGGCAGGGGGTTGGACTGGATGGCCCATGAGGTCTCTTCCAACTCTTTGATTCTATGATTCTATAAGAGCATCTATAGCCAGTCTCACAAAAAATCACCTGAGCAAATATGAAGGACTGTATTTGCAGCCGTTGCAACACTCTTATGAAAGGTTTATGTCAGTGGTTGCCAATCTTGTGCT